ATGTGCAAAGTACTGTTTTGCATAGCCTTAGTAGTTAGGGGGGGGGGGGGTTATATATATTTGCATTTAAATGAACTGTTAAGTGTACTAGAATTAATTTGTTTTGGCATTCACTCTGGCTATGAATTTTTTGTATTCATTTCAGTGTACGTGTTTTTTTTTTTGTATTCAGTTTTGAAGCTCAGGTATTGCCTTTTTTGGCTCTGAATTTCCAGCTTTTTGTAAGGTTTTCTTTGTCTTCGATTTTGGTTAGGTGGTTTCCTCTCTCCTTTTGGTGCCATTTATAGATTCTGTTATGGAGGTTTAAATTTATAAGTCTTCTTCATGCCTTCATCATGGGTTAATGGGAAACTGAAAATGAAAAATACATTGAGTCACTGTAAAGTTTAAAATGTCATGGTAAGGAACATAATGATAAATTTGCATTTTTGCTTTGATATTATACATATATGTACCTCAGGTAGACCTCACCCAGATTTGTTGATTTTGTGATGATATCTTCAATTTGGTAATTTTGATGAATATTTTTGTCATTTTTGGTGAAAAGTGATATTTTCAAATTCTTGTTAAAAACAGCAAGTCTGATTGTTTTTATACTATACATATTGTTCATTTCTAATGATATCTCCAGTTCTTTAATAATTGAAATGTGCATTGCTAACAGCAGAGCTATCTCAGCCGACAGGCTGCTTGTTTTGTATTCAGTTGTGAAGCTCAGATCTTGCCTTTGTTTAGTACTGAATTTCTAGCGTTTTGTAAAGGTTTTCTTCATCTTTGTTTTTGAGTGGATGGTTTGCATTTTGGCTCTATTTTTTCCACTGTAAAATTCTCTTCATATAATTTTGCTTTGTAACGTGGTAATAAAAAGTTGATGCAATTGATATAAATCCTAATACATTTAATTTTGTTAGTCTAGTGGGATGATAATTTATTATTATATACAATGGGAGTTCTCTCCCATAATGCAATTCTCCAAGGCTTGACTGATACTCCCATTGGTGGCGTAGTTGAGAATGAAGAAACAGCATTTAGTCAATGATTGGCCCACACCTTAATGCAAGCACATATGTGAAGGAACATGCTCAGTAGTAAAAATATGAATTCAGCTTGAACTCTTAGTATGCAAATGACAAAACATTGTCATTTGTTATGCTAATTTTATGCAAATTATGCCACAGAGTAATCTGAGTAAAACAATGTTGAGAAATAAATTACTGCAAGTAATTCTAGAATTTCTGTCTTTAATACTGTCAGTGATTTTTAAATTAGGTAATGTTCGTAACACAAAAAAAAACAAAAAAAAAACTTTTTTCTTTTCTCCACTTAAATTGGTCATCACTATACCAATTTTTTGAGCATTGCATCTTTGAATTCAATTTACATGTATTTCATGATTTGAAATGTGGAGTAATCACTAAGTGTAGATTGTGTGCATTTTGTTTGTGTGTAAATACTACTTACATAAAAAAAACATGTGTATTAATATACTGTTTGTATGAATAAAAATGATTTTACATTATTTTCTTTTTCTACTTTCATTTACGGTATGAGAATCCCTTCAGCAACCTCTGCATTCAGACAGGCCATGTCACTTTAACTGCTGCATCATGTGTTGCCATGACAATGCCGTGATTCCTCCATTAGGAGTTATTTCAGTATAAATTTGTTAACCTTTCTGAGGATATTTCTGTGAACCTCGCTGGGTGTACAAAATATTTAGTTCATGCGAGGTTATTTTAGAAATGAGAATATTTTTGTTACTGTTCACCTCATCAACCATGTTCTCTGTCATTAGTAAAATTAAGATTTTTTTCTCAAATATATAATGATGAATTAGTAAAATTGCATTATGATATATATGGTTTCTGTTCTCAATTATCACATTTACTTACACTCCAAAAGAAATTTAAAAATCACCTTTCTCCTGTTAAATACACCTTGCACACAGTGAATCTTTTGTCAATGGCTGTCTTTGAAAATTTGATTTGGTATTCTGAGAATAATTCAGACAGTCGGTTATGAAGATAGCTCACAACTTTGCAAAACACTTCTGTGTTTGTTTTGTTCTAGTCCTGATGCCATCACTTGACAAATTGAGCTCTGTGTATGACTCACTAATTAGTCTTATGTTTTGACCTCCGTGTGTGCGTGCGTGCGTGCGTGTATGCGTGTGTGTGTGTGTGTGTGTGCGTGCCTGTGTCTGTGCGTGCGTCTGGACCTGTATCTTAGAAATGCCTGGACCAATCACAATCAAACTTCACACATACATCATACATGATATTGTACATATGCACGTCAATTTGTTTCACGATCTGATTCAAAATTGCGCTTCACCCTCTTCTAGTATGATAATGGAATGACTAAACTGTGCGCATGTTATTGCAGGATCCATAGCGTTGGGAAAATCCTTTGGAAGTCTTTGGGTTTTTTGAGGTCTGGAAAGTATTTGAGTGTCTTTAAATTACACGAAAAATAAAAAAATCTTTGAAAAGTCTTTAAATTTCTTCATAATTATTAATTCATTTTAGAAAGGCTTGTTTTATCCAGGGAACTACTATATTCTCAGAACTTTGATGAGCTTTGGTGATGATGTTGGCCTGAATTAAGGGTCAAAATGTCTTGGAGGTGGGGATGCAAGGAAGTTTGGGAAAAGGTCTGAAAAAGTCTTGGAAATCATTTGGCTCTTGGTGCTATGGACCCTGTATTGTAACGGTGCCGTCAAGTCTACATTGGACAAACCCAGAGTCATTTTGCTAACTAACTTACTGAATAATTCTGAGAATAGCTGTAACAGATTTCACTGGATCATTTAGGTACAAATATTAATTAATGTTTTGTTTGTTTTTACAGATTGAGCCGTCCACAGTAATGCCAATCTATAGGTGATATCAACTCAACTGTCTAGATAACGTGTAGTGAGTAGTGACATTTCGTATCCATACCAAGAGTACAATCAAATCAATATGTTGAAACGTAAACATTCCGACTGTAGTCCAACAAGATCAGATGACACGCCGGAGACCACACCATCATCAGAGTTTGAAGAATCCAGTTGTGACAGTATGTGTGGTAGCGGAGCTTCAGGAAGTACAGGTACTTGTGGTGTTTAATTGTTTTTTTTGCATAGTAATGTAAAATCTGTATTAAAAGCTTCTATTAAAAT